CAGCTTTCTCATAGAGCCTGTTAGCATAGCTTCCAAGCAATATGGCGGACGTTAAGTTTCGATTCTGGGAGCGAGTTCCCACCCACTGATCTGTGATTGGTCTGCAGCTTCAGTGGTTGAAAATATGAGGAACTAGCGTTGTAGTTTAACCCCGCTAACCGCAACAGCTTCCAGTGACGCAAAAATCGTCATTTTGCGTCACTGGAAGCTCCTTCTCAGACTTAGAAATACAAAGATTTCCCATCTCAGGGGAAAATGAGGGCGGGATGCACAACCATTCAAAAATACTACCAGGTTTCTAATGATACAAAGCTTAATGCAAATGGGTGAAGTATACCTTTAAACTTATATCACTAGTTTATTTTAATGTATCTCTCCAGGCTGCCCATTCTCTCAGTGGTTAGGTGTTTTGTTTTTTTACTTAATGTTTGTTGTAAAATGTGCTCTTAGCAGCTCTAAACATTGGTGAGGAGCATTGTAAGCAGAAAGCTGAAGGTAAACAAGTTCAACCTGAAACTATTGGAATCATTAGACACCTGACAGAACACAATAAAAGAAACATTGGACACACCTGTCCTTTAAAAACAAAGAGCAGCAGTAAAGAACACTCCTAGCTCTTATGTGATCAAAGTTTCCCCATAATTACATTTCTAATGATCAGCCTCACATCTCCATTGTTACAGAACAACAATCCTCCTAATGTTGGAATGAAGAAAGTTCATTCACTGACATCTGTCATAAACAGTGAAACCTTCACTCTGAAACCAGCAGTTGCAATAAAGAAAATGATGAAAATAAAAGTTAAGTCGTGGCTTCACAATACTAAGACCAAAACACAAAGATATGCATGCATGCATACAAGCTATGCATGGAGCCCACATTAGCACACACATTCAAGTGCATAGGAGTACACTTTTCTTAGTGCACACCTAAAATATAAATCCATGAATGCACTCTGAATTTTAGATTTCTGACAGAAATTGGAATTTCCTCATAGTTGCTTTTATTAAATATTTCATGTTGTAGATAATTTAATGCACATACAATCGTTCTATTTTTATAATAACTTCATTTCTACTTCATCTGTTAGTCACTGTATGATTTAGCAATTCAAGTGAGACATTTTTTTAAAGTTGGAAAAATGTTATACAAATTTTAAGAACATTTTGTTTGTAATCCAACCTGAATCCATCACTTGACTTGAGAATACCAAAGAAAAAAAGAACTATAAACTATATGAAACATCAAATAATCCTGCATGAAACACTTTTAAAATAGGAGCTTTTTTATAATCCCTACAAAATAAATTTGAAACAGTGCCCGGCGGCCAGCGTCCGGCAGCTAGCGTCCGGCGGGCGCAGCAGCCTCGACACAAGATCGGCCTGTCAGCAGCAGCCGTCTCGCCGCTATATTTATATTTTTTCGCCATTATCAGCTTTCTTCATAGAGCCTGTTAGCATAGCTTCCAAGCAATATGCGGACGTTAAGTTTCGATTCTGGGAGCGAGTTCCCACCCACTGATCTGTGATTGGTCTGCAGCTTCAGTGGTTGAAAATATGAGGAACTAGCGTTGTAGTTTAACCCCGCTAACCGCAACAGCTTCCAGTGACGCAAAAATCGTCATTTTGCGTCACTGGAAGCTCCTTCTCAGACTTAGAAATACAAAGATTTCCCATCTCAGGGGAAAATGAGGGCGGGATGCACAACCATTCAAAAATACTACCAGGTTTCTAATGATACAAAGCTTAATGCAAATGGGTGAAGTATACCTTTAAACTTATATCACTAGTTTATTTTAATGTATCTCTCCAGGCTGCCCATTCTCTCAGTGGTTAGGTGTTTTGTTTTTTTACTTAATGTTTGTTGTAAAACGTGCTCTTAGCAGCTCTAAACATTGGAGAGGAGCATTGTAAGCAGAAAGCTGAAGGTAAACAAGTTCAACCTGAAACTATTGGAATCATCAGACACCTGACAGAACACAATAAAAGAAACATTGGACACACCTGTCCTTTAAAAACAAAGAGCAGCAGTAAAGAACACTCCTAGCTCTTATGTGATCAAAGTTTCCCCATAATTACATTTCTAATGATCAGCCTCACATCTCCATTGTTACAGAACAACAATCCTCCTAATGTTGGAATGAAGAAAGTTCATTCACTGACATCTGTCATAAACAGTGAAACCTTCACTCTGAAACCAGCAGTTGCAATAAAGAAAATGATGAAAATAAAAGTTAAGTCGTGCTTCACAATACTAAGACCAAAACACAAAGATATGCATGCATGCATACAAGCTATGCATGGAGCCCACATTAGCACACATTCAAGTGCATAGGAGTACACTTTTCTTAGTGCACACCTAAAATATAAATCCATGAATGCACTCTGAATTTTAAATTTCTGACAGAAATTGGAATTTCCTCATAGTTGCTTTTATTAAATATTTCATGTTGTAGATAATTTAATGCACTAAATCGTTCTATTTTTATAATAACTTCATTTCTACTTCATCTGTTAGTCACTGTATGATTTAGCAATTCAAGTGAGACATTTTTTTAAAGTTGGAAAAATGTTATACAAATTTTAAGAACATTTTGTTTGTAATCCAACCTGAATCCATCACTCGACTTGAGAATACCAAAGAAAAAAGAACTATAAACTATATGAAACATCAAATAATCCTGCATGAAACACTTTTAAAATAGCAGATTTTTTACAATCCCACAAAAATAAATGTGAAACCAACTAAAGAGATTAAAAAGTACATGCATGTTCAGAGTGTCATCACTTCTTATTGACTAAACCTGTGTTTGTTAGCCAACAGTAGTTGTAAACCAGCTTATTAAAGGCTTAATATGCAATTTTTCACACTTAAATGCAATAGAAATCAAGATATCCTCTGAAAATAACTCTGTGAGTCATGACTGTCTACAATGGGTGTAACACCGGAGTCCCACTGTCTGTGATGCTTTCCGAGTTTTCCAAGTCCTATCTTCAGTTTTTTTACATCGCCGGGACGGCCGGCCAGCTCATCCCCTCGTGTATAAAAGTTGTTTAATTGAGGGACTAGAGAAAAGAGAATAACATTCTGTACTCACTGCTTAATTGAATGTCACGTAAGCGTTTCTAGATCACGGTCATTTCAGGTAAATTTACATGCAGTGTGAAGATACGAGCATGATAAAGATTGCTAGCATTAGCATGCTAACACAACAATGCAGCACAAGTTGTTTTGGTTTCATGCTGGTGATCAAGGGCGACATCTTCTGGATCAAAAAATTGCATATGAAGCCTTTAAGGAGCAACAAGAGGTAGTGTGAAAAATGTTGCATGTGTTACTGCTCTGTAGATAGATTTACACCTATACTCTATGTGAGAACTGCAAATAAATCAAATGGCCACAAGATGGCAGTGTTGCTCAACTCTCCATGGTTTGGTGTGCTCTCACCATTTGATGAAATGAATGCTCTGCTGGAGAAAGTTTAAACAGGTACTGATCTTTTTTTTTGTACACTGAAAGGAAACATAAGAAACCCTCAGACTGTAAAATATTATTTTATTCTATGATGACGAAAAGGTCCAGCATGTAAAGGAGGTGAACATCTGCAGTAGTTTTATATTTAGTGGATGTTTTTTGGTATGAATTTGTCTTCTATCCAAAAATAAAAGATGAGACTATAATATATGACCTCCAGTAACATCCAGAATGAGCACATTACAGATGTTGTCTATCAATGCCAGGAGTCATCTCCTACTTTTCTTGTGAGATTACTTCTGATTGCAGACATAGAAAGTTGTTTGAAGATAATATCTATGTTAACATATCTCACTTTGTTATCTTACTTCCATAAAGAGTTGGTTTTCTTAATTTCATCACAAAGATATGACTTTATTCCCAGGTCAGGTATCTTTATAGGGCTTATAAATATCCATTTTTATCATCTAATTTCTGCGAGGCTTAGTTTTGTTTTAAACTGAAAGAAGGATGTCAAAGTCAAACTGATTCTCGTGCAGCAACACAGATCAAACTTAAATGACAAATGTCACCTCATGTTAGTATAACTATTGATTTGATGAAGTCAATGATGTACTAAAACTGTAATATCTGGTACTTTTTTATGTTACTTATTTTGCCATATTCAAAATCACAAATCAGTAGTAAAAAAAACACAAATCAACATAAAGCAAATGAACCTAACGTAAGGACAAAGGAACGCAAACTCTGAGTTCACATGTTTGTACACAGGATCTGATGCTGTTTCAAAAGTTGATCCTCTTTGTAGATGTTGTGAATGATTTTAGCTGATGACAAATAGGAAATATTACAGATCTTGATAAATATTGTCAATCCAATCAGAATAATTTCAATTAAGTTTTTAAAATTGTTTTTTAAACTATCATTAATACATGTGTTGTATTGGAAATAATGCGTAATATATCAACAAAATAAGAATGAAGTAAGGTGAAAAGTCCATTTTACACTCACATCAAGGTTTGATTTTAGTTTATGAACCAGGACGACCCCTCAGGTCTTCTTGTTCTTCTATGGTTCTTCTTTTAGTTGTTCCACAGAGCAGAACAAAAACCTTTTGTGATTCTGCGTTTGCTGCTCTGAGACTTTGGAACAGACTTCAGAGGATCAGAGAATATTGAGATTTTTAAAAACAATTTAAAAAACTCATTTATTCAGTCTGGCTTTTCTATATGACTTAATCATTTTAAGGCTTTTAATTTACTATATTTTAATCAATATTATTCATCTCTACTTTTAAATTTACATTTTAGTGTTTGATTTTAGGTTTTTAGTATTTATATTTATCAATCATTGTGCTGATTTCATTTCTTATTGCTGTTATATTTTACAAACTACCTTTTGTCAGTCATTTTTCCGCTCCTTTGTAAAGGACTTTGAACTGCAATTAGATTTGTACCACAGGTGATATATACAGTATATATATACATATATATATAGATGCATATGGTTTGATAGATTACACAATGTTGAACTCAGGATTTTCTCTGATGTTTATTTTGAATACATGCAGATTTTATCAGATATGAACCCATCACAACAGGAATACACTTGAAAGGTTCTCATAGATGCTTTATGTAAGAACCAATCGTCAAACAATTATAGCTTCACTTAAAGTGTGTCATACATTTAAACACATTCATCATCCATTGAAGAAAGGTAGTTGATGGATACGTTTAAAAGATATTTTTCAATTCGAATTTCAAGTTTTTAGATGCAAATAAAGGTTTTCACAAGTTCCAGTTTTAAAGTAAGAATCATAAACTCAAAAGAAGAGCACATTATAAAACATGCCCAAAATAAGACTCATTTTAAAACAGATTAAAATTGTATTGTGATAATAAATGCTGCAGATACAAAGTAATATAAGATAATACCAGTCACCAAAACATCACTCATGATCATCTCTCATTAAACACCACTCAAAGACAAATAATCTAATCTCATGTCCTCAATCTTCAAACGATTAACATCAAAACTAAAACACCACTGAGTATTATAAATCCCTAAATAAAACCACAAGTGAAATATTCACTCCATTACACATGTTGGGAGTGCTTTACATCTTTCCCCGACCAAAAAGAATTCACAACCTACAAAGAAGCATAAATGTGACCAAAAGCTGAATCAATTCAGAAACATGCAGTTTATATATTCAGTTTGAGACAATGATTGTTGGATTTCAATAATGGCTTTCTTTACCTAAATGGTATTCAACAGCCATACAGCTGCTAGCTGTGTAAGTAATGTATCCAGTGTCATGTGTGTCTATGTATCAGTTTATATTATTATATATTATGATTTATCTTTGTCCTCAATAAAATCATGTTGTATGTTGTTGGAACTTATGCAGATGCAGAAGGGAGTCAACAATTTAAAACAACAATACAACATGTATATGATAAAAGCTAGAAAGAGTCCTGAGTCTGAATAAGAAATAATTCTGTGTTATTCATGTTGTTGAGTCATTTCCATGGTCTTTTAATTACCCTCAGGTCCAAGCAGATGCGGCTTCTTCTCGAACTTCCTGCATGTTAATAAAGACACAAAAGTACATCTGTTTAAAGAAAGCAGTAGAGTAAACCTAGTGAGAGATAAACTGAAGAAGAAATGATTCTATTTAACAAACGATCTAACATTCAACTTATTTTAAAGATAAACGATGTACTCATCATGCAGATCCATCATCTCACTGCTGAGAACTTTCAGTTTTTTTAAATCTCAAGTAATAAAATACATTATTTCAAAGTTTTTGTCCGTTGGTAGGAAAATACAAAAGTTTGAAGACACCAATGCTAATTTAGCATCAAAAAAAGATCAAAATCATATATATGCAAAAAAAAGAATCCTGAAGCTTGTTTCACTATGCAATCATTCCCTCCCTGCTCATTGTTCCATTCTAATGCTCATATATTAAAACAGCCTTTCAATGTAATAAAACCACTAACTGCATATATTAATATGTCACATACACACCCATTCAAAAAGCCAATTTTTACACAGAAATAAACATGTTTACAGCCCGATTCAAAAAACCAAATTGGTCTGATTATCTCATGTCTCAATCAGCACACACTGTATGAAGAGGGATTTTTTTTTTAACATGTCCGTTTTTCTTTTAATGAAGGATACACGTTATTCACAATAAGACCCGTAGCTTATAGGCCTGGGCTAAAAAAATGTTATCAAAATGTCATATCAGTCGATATAATTATCACAATAATTGTCAATCATTTTTACTTTCAAATTTTCAAATTAAAAGCTGATTTTTGCTCCTGAGTGAAAGTTGAAGAAACCAGAGGGTTGGTTAATCTTTTGGTTTCACTCCCATGCTGCTGTTGCTTACCTCTCTTAACCTGAGGGCCCCAAACCAGAGTCCTGCACGGTTCCAATACAGGTCAGTAAAATTGTTTCAGTACAGAAACCTGACTGACTGTCTAGACTTGCTGTCTAACCTGGATGCAAACCAGGACAAAGGACCAATAACATGTTGGAGTGTTGCTCACTTTGGCAGTATTTTGTTAAGTTAAAGTATCAAATCTATTAGAGTAGAGCTTCACCAGCACAGGTAAGCATACGTTAACCTGAAAGGAAGACCGAAGGCTGAGGATGCTAGCACAGCTAATGTTTTCCACACTCAGCAGATTGTAGATCACATGTTCAACCATATTAAATAAACTGTACTCAATGTGGACTGTTTTCTATTTACTTCAGCCAAGTCAACTGGTTTTATGTTTAATCAACAGCAAGTTAGTTCATATTGTATCCTTTAACATCTTAATATTCAACTATTATCTAAGGATTGGAAAATCATTGTACCACTGTTCAAAGTGCTTTTTTGCAGCCTTCACACTCTTTCTATCAGTCTTCTTACAGAAGACCCTGATCAGCTGCTCAGAAAAGCACGTTGTGCCAATCCTGGATGCCTGTAAAGAATGACAGCAGCTTTAATTTGAGAGTTATGACATAAGCTGCCTTACAAATAATAAACAGAAGAAATATTGAATGATTGCGATAAAAAAATTGTTTTAATCAATAATTAGTTCTGACATTTTTGCTGTTCTCGTCTTTCATGCCGTAGTCCATGTTAATGACCTAAAAAGAAGGTCGAGAGTAAAATGTGTGCCATAACAAATTCTGCAACATCTTACAAATCAAAGAATCAGCAAAACTGAAGATTTTACAAAAAAAGTGAGACGAAAGAAAGTAAAAAAAACTCACCAGGATTTCAAAGTCCTCTGGTTTCAGGTTGTTTTCTTCCTCGTCAGGGAGGGGTTGAGCAATCCTTCTTTCCAGCCAGAAATCGGCTCTTGACAAGGAATCAGAAAAAAATTACAACAGTGGAAAAGGATATAGATTCAAGTTTTTTTGCATTTTAAGTTGACAATGTAAGCAACTTGGAATTCAATTCACATTCACTCAAAAAACTGCACCAACTTAGTGTAAATGCGTTTGACTGTAGGGCTGCATGGTATGATCTAAGCATTCATTTTGCTATGTGTACAAGTGCCATGGTAATATCCAGGACGTGTGTTAGTCCATGAGCACATAAAGTGTAGAGGGAGAGAGAGAGAAGGGATCACATGCAGTGTATGAAGATGAACTGTTCTTTGCTTAGAAGTTAATGTCACAGGGCTCTTGATGCAAATTAAATGTAGCTTTGAATGTATAAGGGGTTCTTATTTGTAAAAGAAAATAAACTTGAAGACCCAAATAATAATAAAAATTGTAATAGTATGAACATGAAAAGAAAACGCAGTTTCCCCAATATCATGCAGCATTAGTTGACTGAGGGATTTTGTATTGTAAGACATTTCAAGCTGCTATCCAATTCACATTACATTTCAAAAAGAGAACTGTTCAATAGTGCTGCTGTTCATGTTAAATGTAATATTACGGGCAAGATAAAATGCTGGAGACAGTAAATAATGTGATGTGTACTTATTCTATTAACTGAAAATGAGCACATTATCCAGCTTTGTGATAACAGTGCATTATTTATTTAACCGTTTATTTGAATCAGGGTCAGTGTACAAAAAAAAACATTAGTCTCAGAAGAGAAGAGATGCTTTGTACCAGATTTAGCTAGCTAGCTAAGTTCCATCTGTTGTCCCTGGGCAGATGATGGCAACAGCAAAATACAAATCAACCAGACACACACGCACGCACGCACGCACACACGCACGCACACGAGAGAAGAAAGACATAGAACAATTTACAGATATTAAAACATTATAGTTTCCCTGAGAGATCTAAAAGGTTGTCGAGATGACACATTAATGCTGACAAGGCTGGTTCCTTAAAATCCATTTTTTGACTTCCCGGGTGAAAGTGCAGAAGTTTGTGCAAAGTTTAAGACTAGTTGGAAGACTATTCCATTCCTTAACGGCTTTAAAAGAAAAAACTGATTGTGCTAAAGCGGAGCCACGTTTAGGAACACTGCAATCTCCATTAGAGGCAGACGTTGAAGATCTGCTTATCAGCTCAGAGCGAAGTTTCACAAAGCTTTTCAATGGTGGGGGAGCAGCATCATGGATTATTTTGTACACTAAGCGGACATCGGTATAAAAAATTAAATGGTCAAAGCTCAGAATTTTATATTTATCAAGAATATCACAATGATGATACTGTTGTGGTTTCCTGTCCAGAGTTTTAAGGGCTTGTTTATGAAGTGACCTTATGGGTTTTAAGACAGTCTTGTTTGCTTGGGACCAACATGATATACAGTAATGAAAGTAAGAAAAAATCATAGCATTCAAATACATTTTAGACGCTTCGACTGTAAGTGAGTTCCTGATATGTCTAAAGTTGGCTATGTTATATTTAACTTTATGGCACATCTTTTTAATATGACTTTTAAAAGTAAGGTTGTGGTCTAGTGTAACACCCAAGTATCAAGTATCAACCCAACTCATCGACCTTTTTTATCATTTGCCCACCTACAATAATATTTGGAAAAAACATATTTTTGTGTTTATTTACAAAATACATGACCACAGTTTTGTCAGTATTAACGTAACGTATGAATAACGTAACCATTCTATGACTTGTTCCATTGCTAATGACAGTTTGGCAGCTACTTGTTCAGGGTCTTTCCCACATGCATATAGGACCGTGTCGTCTGCATACATCAAGGTCCCCACATCATCACACACAGATGGGAGATCATTGATGTATGCACTAAACAACAACGGTCCTAAGATGGAACCTTGTGGCACTCCCATAACGCAGGCTTTTAGTGATGATATTTTATCATTTATCCGTACGCACTGGGAGCGACCAAGTAGGTAAGACTGAATCCAATTAACAACGTTAGCAGAGAGTTTAAATTTAGACAATTTGGAGATGTGTACTGAATGATTAACTGTATCGAAAGCCTTGCGCAGGTCAAGAAATACAGCACCCACCACCCCTCCTTTATCAAGGCTACCTTTAATGACTTCAAGGAAGTAGCAACATGCCATTTCAGTGGAATGGTTTGCTCGAAACCCAAATTGCATAGGGTGCAGTAGATTTTCAATATTAAGATGGGCTACCAGTTGTTCAGCAACAACCTTTTCAATAACTAGGTTAAGGTGATTAGATCATGTGTTATAAATGTAATGAAACACAAGAACACAGACTTACTTCCCAATCCTCGATGGGGTCCGCTGGCTTTCTCTCACCAACAAACTTGTAGATATTTCCAGAGACAATGTTTTGCAGAATTAGAGTAGAGCTTAACCAGCACCTTAACCTGAAAGGAAGACTGAAGGCTGAGCACAGCTAATGTTTGAGGCAGAAATGATTCTATTTAACAAACGATCTCTCATTCAACTTATTTTAAAGCAAAACAATGCACTCATCATGCAGATCCATCATCTTACTGGTGAGGATTTTCAGTTTTTTAAAATCTTAAGTAAAAAAAAATATTTTCAAGTTTTTGTCTTTTGGTACTAAAATACAAAAGTTTGAAGACACCAACAATTAATTTGGCATCAAAAAAGGGATCAAAATCATATAAAAGCAAAGAAAAGGCAACAGTATCCTGAAGTTCAATGCAATCATTCCCTCCCTGCTCATTGCTCCATTCTAATGCTCATATATTAAAACAGCCTTTCAATGTCATAAAACCACAAACTGCATATATTAATATGGACAATGAGTTTTGGTCTGTTGTATAAAGAGCAAAGACAAAATACCGGCCAACATTTTGTGCTGGTGACTTCTTTTGGAGCCAAGACATGTGCAAACTGAAGCACAACAAAACAAAAAAAGATCCCTCAGGTCAGAAAGAATCCCAGTCTCGATTCTCACATAGTTGCGATGTCATGTCTGCGTGATGCCGATTCTCTTGCTCCTTTTTCCTTCACAAACTGCACTTACGCTGCACTCGCGTCAGTATTTCCCACACAGACAATACTCGGGCTGCCCAGGTACATGTATAGCTGCCCAAGTAGCCTATATTTTAAAACTATATGTTTTAATTATTCATAAAATTGCCGTCCGCACGAGAGAGAGAGAGAAAAAGAGGGCTGCTGTTTGTTCCTCCCTCCTGTTAATGCACCTGAGGTCCAGCCCTCCTGACATGTCAAAACTGAAGCTTCTCATGACTTAGTTTTATTATGTTTGTGAAGCTGCTTGCTGCCGATGTGATGATGCTCTCTCTTGGTTTTGCTGAATCTTGATAACAGGCCTTCACATCATGCTCACCTGTTGTAATAACTGAGATGCTAGATCAACTTTTTAAAGAGGGAGTTTTGTTGTGTTGCACAGAGCCCATGAAGGCTCAGTTAAAAAAAATCAAATGCTGTCTGCTAATCAGTACAATGGACTTGTAAAGCGTGGCTACGGACTAGCAAACTGTTGACAAGGTTTCATAAATTCTGCGAGACAAAACAAGGGGCTGAGGTCCATCAATTATTTCCATCAGCAAGGCATATCTGCTTTTACTCTCTCTCTCTCTCTCTCTCTCTCTCTCGTGCGCACATCTTTATTCCATTTCTTTAAACGAGACAAAATCAGGATGAGAATGCAGGAAAAGAAATGTTTGGTGCTTAACATTTTCTTGGGGAGACCCCACCTGAAGCTGGCTAGAGAAACACTGGAAGCCACATACACACCCATTCAAAAAAAGTCTGTTTGAGACTGTAGATCACATGTTCAACCATGTTAAATAAACTGTACTCAATGTTGACTGTTTTCTATTTACTTTAGCCAAGTCAACTGGTCTGAATTTATATTTGATGTTTTATGTTCAATCAACAGCAAGTTAGTCGATATGTATTGTATCCTTTAACATCTTAAGATTCAACTATTATCAAAGGATTAGAAAATCATAGTACCACTGTTTAAAGTGCTTTTTGGCAGCCTCCACACTCTCGTCATCAATCTCCTTACAGAAGACCCTGATCAGCTGCTCAGAAAAGCACGTTGTGCGAATCCTGGATCCCTGTAAAGAAGGACAGCAGCTTTAATTTGAGAGTTGTGGTGACATAAGCTGCCTTACAAATAATTTAAAGATAAAGATAAAGATAAACTTTATTGATCCCCTGTGGGGGAAATTTGTGCATTACAGCAGCTCCAGAAAACAGGGGACGGGAATATACTTATTAAAAATAAAACTAGAAGTTAAAATCAAATCAAACATATTTACATCATTTAAATAAAATAAAAAATACAATAATGTAAAATTACACAGTAATTAAGGGATTGCTCTTAAAAAAACACACACACAGTGTGTAGCATGAGGTGGTGATGTTGTTAAAGAGTCTGATTAAACAGTCTGACTGCAGATGGGATGAACGACCTGCGGTAGCGCTCTGTCTTGCAGGGTGGGTGTCTCAGTCTGCTGCTGAAGGAGCTGCTCAGGGCCCCCACAGTGTCATGCAAGGGGTGAGAGGGGTTGTCCATGATGGATGTCAGCTTCACTAACATCCTCCTCTCACCCACCTCCTCTACAGAGTGCAGAGGACAGTCCAAGACAGAACTGGCCCTCCTGACCAGTCTGTTCAGTCTCTTTCTGTCTCTCTCCATGCTCCCTCCTCCCCAGCAGACCACTGCATAGAAAAGTGCAGACGCCACCACAGTGTCATAAAAAGTCTGTGGCAGAGTCCTGCACACTCCAAAGGACCTCAGTCGTCTCAGCAGGTGAAGTCGACATTGGCCCTTCTTGTACAGGACGTCGGTGTTGTGTGACCAGTCCAGTTTATTGTTGAGGTGAACACCCAGGTATTTGTACGTCTCCACCCTCTCGATGTCCAAGCCCTGGATGTACACCGGCGCAGTCTGGGGTGACTTCCTGCGGAAGTCAATCACCATCTCCTTTGTCTTGCTGGCGTTGAGCTGAAGGTGGTTGAGCTCACTCCAGTCGACAAAGTCCATGATGACCTGCCTGTACTCCTGTTCGCTCCCCTTAGACACACACCCCACGATGGCTGTGTCATCGGAGAACTTCTGCAGGTGGCAGCTCCCAGAGTTGTAACAGAAGTCCGAGGTGTACAGGGTGAAGAGAAAAGGGGAGAGAACTGTCCCCTGCGGGGCCCCTGTACTGCAGACCACCATGTCAGACTCACAGTCCTGAAGCCTCACGTACTGTGGTCTGTTGGTGAGGTAGTCTGTTGTCCATGCAGCCAGGTGACAGTCCACTCCCGCCCTCTCTAGCTTCCCCCTGAGCAGTGCAGACTGGATGGTGATGAAGGCACTGGAGAAGTCAAAGAACATGACCCTCACAGTGCTGCCGGTGTTCTCCAGGTGAGTCCAGGATCTCTGCAGCAGGTAGATGACGGTGTCATCCACCCCGATGTTCGGCTGGTAGGCGAACTGCAGAGGATCCAGATTTGAAGTCATCAGGGGGCGGAGGTTGTTGAGGACGATCCTCTCCATGGTCTTCATCAGGTGAGAGGTGAGGGCACAGGTCTGAAGTGGTTAGGCTCCCTGAGGTGAGATGTCTTTGGGACTGGCACCACGCAGGAAGTCTTCCACAGAGTCGGTACCCTCTCCAGTCTCAGGCTCAGGTTGAAGATGTGCAGAAGGACCTCACAGAGCTGGTCTGCACAGTCCTTCAGGAGTCTGGAGCTGATGCCGTCGGGACCTGTGGCCTTCCTCGCCTTGATCTTCCTCAGCTGGCTTCTCACCTGATCAGCTGTTATAGAGAGGCCGTCGGAGGAGGAGGATGAAGAAGAGGAGGGGGTTGTTGGGGGTCGTCTGAGGAGGAGGAGAAGGAGAGGGCTGTTGAGGGGGGTGGCAGGGTACTCAGGGTACTCAGATGGAGAAGCGGGCTGGTCTGCGCTCTGGTGGGTGGGGTGGGGTTGGGAGCAGAATCAAATCTATTGAAGAACAGATTCTGTTCATTTGCCCACTCCCTGTCTCCTGCTTCAGGGCCCCTCCCACGCCTTCTGCTGTGACCTGAGATGTTATTCAGGCCCCTCCAGACTTCTCTTGCATTTTTATGTTGTAAATCTTCCTCCATCTTTTCCCGATAGCTGGCTTTCTCCTTGATTTTATCTTGAGCTATCCTTTTGCACCCTCCTCAGCTCCTCTCTATCTCCAGATCTAAAAACCCTTCTCTTTTAATTGAGCAGGGTTTTCAGCTCAGGGGTCACCCAGGGTTTGTTGTTGGAGAAACACTGTATTTTTTTGGTGGGTACAGTGTTCTCAACACAGAAGTTTATGTAATCTGTGATGCAGTGGGTTAAACCGTCGATGTCCTCCCCATGTGGGCTGCACAGCACCTCCCAGTCAGTGGTGTCGAAGCAGTCCTGCAGCGCCTCAGTGGCCTCCTTAGACCACTTCTTCACATACCTGGTTGTGGGGGTTGTTTTTTCACCATAGGTATGTAAATGGGCTGCAGTCTCACCAGGTTGTGGTCTGAGCGGCCCAGAGGGGGAGGGGTGATGATCTGTATGCAGCCTTGGTGTTTGCATACAGTAAGTCCAAAGTTTTATTGTCCCTAGTATGGCAGTCAACATACTGAGTGAAAGTAGGGAGAGTGGCAGACAGGGAAACGTGGTTAAAGTCTCCTGAGATGAGAGTAAGAGACTGGGGGTGTGATGTCTGTAGCTGAGACACTACACTGTGGATGAGTTCACAGGCTGCAGCAGCGTCTGCCGAGGGGGGGATGTAAACAGTCACCGCGATGACGTGTGAAAACTCCCTCGGCAGGTAATATGGCCGAATGCTTACAGCCAGCAGCTCCACATCCTTAGTGCAGCGCTGTTCTTTAACGGTGATGTGCCCAGAGTTACACCATCTCTCATTCACATACATCGCTATTCCCCGCCTTTCTTCTTACCGCTCTCCCTCGCGCTCCGGTCCGCTCTGACGAGTGGAAGCCGTCCAAAGTTACGAGCGTGTCCGGAGTGAGTTCATTCAGCCATGTCTCCGTGAACTGCATGATGCTACACTCTCGGTACTCCCTCTGAAGCCGGGTGAGCGCCGTCAGCTCCTCCATCTTATTAGGGAGAGATCTTACATTCCCCATAATTAAAGACGGCACGGATGGTTTGTACCGTCTTTTCTTTTCCCGGCACTTCACTCCGGCTCTGCATCCCCTTCTCTTCCTCCGTAGTTCTGCGGGGATGTCCGGTCTTTCGGCTGGATGTAACCGAGGCTGGCACAGCGCAACCAGCTGTTCACGGGTGTAAACAATGGAGCCCAATAAACAGAAGAAATATTGCGATAAAAAATGTTTTAATCAATATTTAGTTCTTACCTTTTCTTCGGGCATTGCCTTTGCCACGTCGAGCTCAGATTTGCTGTAGAAATGAACATGTTGGATAGGGTCCTTGTCGTCCATGCCATAGTCCATTTCAATGACCTAAAATGAAGGTTGAGAGTAAAAGTATATCTGCAGTAACAAATTTTGCAACATCTTACAAATCAAAAAATCTGCAAAACCCAAGATTTTACAAAAAGGTGAAATGAAAGAAAGTCAAAAAACTCACCAGGATTTCAAAGTCCTTTGGTGTCAGGTTTCTTTCTCCCTCAGCCAGTCCTTTTTTCCAGCTAGGAATCAGGCTCTTGAAAATGGAGCAGAAAAGTTGAGAAGAGTGCGAAATGATAGAAAAGGTTTTTTGCATTTTAAGTTGACAATGTAAGCAACTTGGAATTCATTTCACATTCACTCAAAAAACTGCACCAACTTAGTGTAGATATTTTTGACTGTAGGGCTGCATGGTAGGATTTAAGCATCATTTTTGCGTATGTGTACAAGTGCTATGATAACATTACAGAATATATAATATCAATCATATGTCCTGAAATGCATCATTTCATGCCATTTTTTGTTGTTTTTGCTTTTGAATAAACAAAAAGCCTTCAGTTTCTCTCTTTCCATGACTGATCTACAATATCAGTCTGTCTGATCCTCTTCCTGATCACAAAGAGAAGTGACTTCTGTGCAGGCAGAGTCTATGTGCACATAAGATGTAGAGTTGAAGGGATCACATGCAGTGTGTGACGATGAACTGTTCTTTACTGTCACAGGGCTCTTGATGCAAATTAAAAGTCACTTTGAACATATAAGGGGTTTTATTTGAAAAAGAAAATAGAATTGAAGGCCCAAATGATAATACAAATTGTAATTGTATGAACCTCAAAGGTTATCACAGTTTCCCCAATATCATGCAGCATTAGTTGACTGAGGGATTTTGTATTGTAAGACATTTCAAGCTGCTATCCAATTCACATTACATTTCAAAAAGAGAACTGTTCAATAGTGTTGCTGTTCATGTTAAATGTAATAACAACACGGGCAAGATAAAATGCTGGAGACAGTAAATAATGTGATGTGTACTTATTCTATGAACTGAAAATGAGCAATTATCCAGCTTTGTGATAACAGTGCATTAGATCATGTGTTATAAATGTAATGAAACACAAGAAACACAGACTTACTTCCCAATCCTGGATGGGGTCCTCTGGCTTTATCTCACCAACAAACTTGTAGCTCTTTCGAGAGATGATGTTTTGCAGAATCTCTCTTGCCTTTTCTAGCTCTGAGCAGGAAGACTTCAGTATTTCCTCAAACACGTTGTCTAAAAGAGTAACAGAGTAACAAGCAAACAAATGATAATAACACACACAAAAATTAGTGAATTTAATTTAAACACACGCAATAAATTGTAAGACATGGCATGTTCATTTATAAGTCATCACAAGTAAATTAACAGGATGTGGTTTATTTATCTTTAACAAATGCACGATAAAAAAAATGGATAAAGTAGCATAACTGTAAATGACCTAGCAACAGAGCCATCTGACAGAAAGCAGCATCTAACAAAGTGTGTTTCCAAAAAGTGTTGAAATATGTCATATTTCTGTTACTTCATAAATAAACATCCTAAATATCAAACAAGTTCAAATGATCAGGACAGCCAGTTGTTCAGGATGTTTGAGACTGGATTTGTGAACTCCTCAAACTACCAGATAACCTTGTCCTTGGCCAAACATCAAAACCGACCAAGTGCCTACACACAATTTCCTTTTCAGATTGTTGGGTGTAGTGCATTATTTAAACAATGTCTTGATACTCCTGTAGTCTGAATTGGCTTCAATGTTAAACATGAGCTAACAGCACACATTTAAATCTACACACCTGTGAGCTTTGTGTAGGCCTCCATGTCCTCATTGGCTGTAGAGAGAGTGAACATCCTCCCTCCTGATCCTTCAATCTGAATGTGACCGTCTGCTTTAAAAAAAGCCTCTGCAATCCTGTATGTTCATATCAAACATATTATTACTGATGAGATAGTGAATCATGATGCAGATCAAATAATGGAAATCAGAAGGAGACCAATCTTATATTTGGAGTAATAACTTCTGAAGGTAGACACTTACATTTCTTGTATGATTTGGCTTACTCTGTGCTGACAGGCTCTTTTGTGGAGACGGTGTCTTGTATAGAACAAGTGGTACATATGGTCTTCCTTCTGTTGAGGTTAGGACTGTAGTTTAGTCATAAATAACAACATTATCAGTTTGCTTTCAATTATCTGTTTACAAGCTCAAGTGTGTCAGCACCTTGTCTCTGGTGCAGATAGTTTTCCTTTTTCCTTCTTTGCAGTCTTTGTCTTCAACCTCACACACTCTGGCAAACTGCAGGAAGCGACGAAAGTCAAAGTTGTTCTTGATCCCCAGGTAGGAAGAGTCCCTGAGTAGAGGCAGATTGAGGCAAGGTGAAGAAAATAGGTGTATAGAGGGAAACTGAATTTACTGGAGAGTTTTGTAGCCTATAATTTAAAATAATCAGGAGAATAATGCATTGTTCACGGTAAAAAAAAAAGAAGTGCTGTAGTGGTCTTCATCACAAAATGAATTGCTCTACAGCACTTCATTAAAACCTGACCTGGCCAAGTAGTCAAACTTGTCCACATCAACGCCGTTTTTTTTGTTGGACACAATTTCGTAGAGGAAGGACTTTTCTTTTGGGCGCCCTTTGTACGGCCACTGCAGGGATGACGACACAAAGCGAATCAGGACCAGTTTTATTGACACGTATGTTGTTGTCAATGAATTTACACTGCATAGAAAAAATATGTAGGACCATTCCACAAAACAGAGATAAAGCTAAAATATGAACACAATAAACTATGTACATGAAAAAGCAGTTTGTTTGATAAATATGTGAACACAGCAATCACACTCTTTTAGCTGCTCAACTTTTTTTATCTATTTTTTCTTGAATGGTGCACTATGTGCTCTTTTTGGCTATCTTTGCTCTTTGCTGCCCGTTGTAGGATGAATAAAGTTTTATCTTCTCTTATCTTATATTCATACAGTATCTTATCCGACTTCTGAAAAACATAATGAGGTGAACTTGCCTCCTGCTCTTTAGATTCCTGTAGAGGTCCAGCAATCATCTCCTTAATGAATGTTATGTCTTCTTCAGGTTTCAGTCCATACTTTTTCATCGTTGGTTTAAAATTATTCTGTTCCACCAGGTGGTCTAGCATGAGACGAGAGCCCCTTTCATGCTGCAAGACACACAGACTCATAAATGTGTCAACACAAGATTTAAAACATAAATATAATAATCCCACATACTTTAATTTCCCCCACATTTGAAGAGTATATCTCAAACGTACAGTATGTAAAACAACTTACAATGTCAGAGTTCCTAAAGCGCTTCAGAATTTGACGAGCCACTTAATGTCAGCCAATATACTGTATGCAACATCCTAACAGTCTTTATCAGGGTTATTTAGCTAGCTGAACTCAACCCGATGTCAAACTGTTAAGCATAAGAGTTTTTGGGAAGGTGATAATGCAGCTCAGTTTTCTCACCGAACGTTTTTTCACACCTGGATATTTTGGAAAAGTTGTTCTGAAACAAAGGGGCGTTTCCCCTTTAGCCCGGTTTGTTTGGATGTAAACACAACAATCGCACTCTTTTGATCTAAAGTTATTGAATGGTGCACTGTGTACTCTTTTTTGGCTATCCTTGCTCTTTGCTGCCTGTTGTAGGATGAATAAAGGTTATCTTCTCTTATTGAGTGACAAAGAGACATAAACAGATCTAGAAATCCCTTCTGCTTTTAAAAGAGTTCCCTGTCATAAAGAATTACCTCTCATGAACCATGAATTCAATTATTATCTTTGTTTGTTGTATCTAAATCTCTGAATCACCAGGATTAATGGTTAAAACAGAAACATTATTAAAATCTCATGGAGCTTCTGAAAAGCGGTAACATGTCAGATAAAAAGTTGACATATTATTACCAAAGAGAACAGGAGGATATGGGTCATTTAGCAACACAAACTACACCGTTCATTGTTATTAAAGAAATAGATCAACATTCTTGGAAATGTGCATAATCCCATTACACCTGAAAAAGCAAACAAAAAAGAACATCCTGGATTTTGTTTCAAAAGAACAAGCCAGTGTGAAAGGTACATGTGCTTCAGTTTTGCCGTTCCTCTGTATTTCATTTGTTATATTACAACAGAAATAAAAACTTTTTACCTTCCATTTCTTTAATTTCCTCTTTTTTTCCAGTGCTTTGGGGAGGAACATTCCATCATACAGATGGGAAAAGGGTCCATGACCTTGAAATGGATAGATAAATACAGGCGTAATCCACTGATAGTCTACAGATTATACAGTCAGTATGTCTTAATAAACCTGTTTGAGTTGAGGATGGATTACTCCTGAATCTAAACTTGAGAATATTGCTTACAAGAAAGACTGTTATGTGTTTGTAAATGTATGCATGGTCTGGTTGGACTGTGGAACCGAAATGCCCCTCTGGGTTAAACATTTTTTTCTGAGTCTAAATATTATTTTTAAAGATTCAGACCCTCCAGTTCTTATCAGAGTCCCTTTACAGACCGAGCTACCACCACCTCACCCCACCCTCGTATTTTTTATTTATTAATGCAGAAGCCCTTGCTTTTTTGAAAGATGGAAGGGTTATTTCTGGATCATTTCACTTTCATTTTACTCTTTTCATACCCAATAACATAATTTATAAACTATTATATGTAATATTGAAAAGGGATGCATTACTCACCCAGGTCATGACAGAGGCCAGCAATCTGAACACAAAGGACGTCTCTGTCAGTGATGTTGAGTTCCGGCTGCCTTGACCTGAGAGCCTCAGCAAGTTTTCCTGCTAAGTATCCCACCCTTTTTAGACCACAGAAAAATTTTTTTAATCATAACGCAGTTATCACAATAGATTTATAAATGAATATTTTTTATAAGATCCATACTAAGACAGGCACTGTTTTCTGCCTTTATTGGTTTTACAAGGTGCTTATGTGAAAACCACCATGAGTCTTCTCCTTATTTGGACTGAGGTCACCTGTGGGCTGAAATCTGAAAACTTGCTGACTTACCCGATCGAGTGTTCAAAGCGGTTGTGAGACGCTCCAGGGTAAACAAAGTAGACACCTCCAAGCTGCTTTATGAATCGAAGTCTCTGGAACTGAGGTGTGTCAATGATCTTGATGAGGAGTGGGTGTAACTCTATGCTACCATGGATGGGATCATTAAACACCTGGCAGAAAACAAACAAACAAAGCTAAGAACAATGAAATGCCAAAACAAACAACACCATGAAGACCAGCTCAAGATTGCTGAGGGCTCTGGGAGGTATAGCATAAGCATGAAATGAGCCCAAGAATAAAGCTGATGCTACAAAGAACGTTTTTTTGACTTTACCACTGGTTGGGATATTAAACATCTAGTAGAACAAAGAGAACAAAACATTGGACACTGAAAATGTCCTTTCAATACAAAGCGTGTCTTCCTATTCCTTTTTTTTAAAGTATTGAAGGAAAGGAGAACAAAGAGGGTTGATTTGGATAGAAAAGGTGAACAACGCTAGCTGTCCTCACCACTGGTGGGGATATTCAGCATCTAGTAGAACAAAGAGAACAAAACATTGGACACTGAAAATGTCCTATTTCAATAGCCTACAGTCTGTGTTCCTCTTCCTTTTTTTTAGGATTAAAGGAAAGGAGAACAAAGAGGGTTGGTTTGGATAGTAAAGGTGCACAAAGCTAGCTGTCCTCACCACTGTGGATAATAAGCATCTAGAGAACAAAGTCCTCCCAGTTAATTAGATTTTTAATTTAGACTGATAATGGATAATACATGGACACAGGCTTAACTTTGTGGAGGTGTGTTTGTGTGCGGTTTATTCTACAAGTCGTCATTGTTTGTTCTGTTTATTCTCTCTTATCTCTCCAGCCGCAAAAATGTGGTGTGATGTGTGGTAAGACGTGAAGTATTTTACCTTGGTGATCAGTCTGTAAAATTTAGAAAAAAAAAGCATTAACAGTATGAACAAGTGCTGAAACTTCCAACTTAAAATGATTTCTTTATAATATTGAGATATTTTAAACTGGTTTAACAAAGACAGAGGTACTCACTTATTTCCCATTTTGCCCCGACTTGTTCTAGATAAAAGAGCAAGAAGTTAGTCATCAGTCATTTATTAAGTAACCTCAGTTTTACACAAGCTAAAATGCAACATTGTCAAGTTAAACCATGAGTTTAAAATAACCATGCATACAACTTACCAAACCAGAAAACAAACCATGAATTTAGTCGACTGTAACTAGAAAACCGACCTCTAAATTTTCCTCCAATCGTCCTTCTTTTTGTACCAACTCATTTCCTCAGCTACCTGTGACTTAAAGACAAATCTATCTATATAGTTTTTAATGTTTTGAAGCCGTAAGATGTTGCATTTACATCAAGCTAATGTTTCTGATGCTGATCTGACAAGTGGCAAATGTCATTTATATAGCCATAGCTGCTTAAGGCATTTTTTTTATGACGCTCAGGGTTTTAAAACATCTGACATTTATATCTCCACCACACCCATGTTATTGGTCTTTACCCTCATAATGATCCTCTTCTTTTATTGATATACCAAACATTTCAGAAAACAAAACTGAAAGTGCATCAGAATTTCTTAAGTCAAATTAACAAATCTAAATGTATAAAGAAGTGAAGAAATGACAGGATGTTAGAAATAAATCAGTATTAGAAGTTACTTCTGAAGAAAATTCAGAGGTAGCCTGAATGTTGCATGTTTAACCTGCTCTTTAGACAGAGATTTATAGTGTACTCTATTTGAGGACTGCAATTACATCAAATGGCCACAATGGGAATGTTGCTGAACTCTCTATGGTAAAGTGTGCCCTGACCATTTGAAGAATGCTCTGCTGGAGAATTTTAAACAGGTACTGATCTTTTTTGTGTTGCTTTTTCATAACTTTCAGAAAGGAAACGTAAGAAACCTCAGACTGTAAAAGATTTTCTCATTCTATGATGACAAAGATGTTCAGCCTCATGATGTATCCAGAAGCATGTAAAGGAGGTGAACATCTGTCTGTCATCATTCTATCCAAAATAAAAGATGAGACTATAATATATGACCTCCAGTAACATCCAGAATGAGCACATTGCAGATGTGTTTTTATCAATGTGACATCTCCTACTTTTTCTTCTGAGATTACTTCTGATTGCAGACATAGAAAGTTGTTTAAAGATAATATCTATGTTAACATATCTCACTTTGTTATCTTACTTCCATAAAGAGTTGGTTTTCTTAATTTCATCACAAAGATATGACTTTATTCCCAGGTCAGGTATCTTTATAGGGCTTATAAATATCAATTTTTATCATCTAATTTCTGCTGAGCTTAAGTTTGTTTTAAACTGAAAGAAGGATGTCAAAGTCAAACTGATTCTCCGTGCAGCAACACAGATCAAACTTAAATGACAATTTAACTCATGTTAGTATAACTATTGATTTTTTAAAAGTCAATGATGTACTAAAACTGTAATATCTGGTACTTTTTAGCTACTTATTTTGACATATTCACAAATTCACAAATCAGTCGTAAAAAAACACAAATCAACATAAAGCAAATGAACATAACGTAAGGACAAAGGAACGCAAACTGGAGTTCACATGTTCGTACACAGGATCTGATGCTGTTTCAAAAGTGATCCTCTTTGTAGATGTTGTGAATGATTTTAGCTGATGACAAATAGGAAATATTACAGATCTTGATAAATAATGTCAAACCAATCAGAATAATTAAGTAAGTTTCTAAAATTGTTTTTTAAACTATCATTAATACATGTGTTTTATTGGAAATAATTCATAATATATCAAC